TAGCTTCTTGTTACTACTAGTAAGGCACTTGTTCCTAGTAGCGATGCACTTGTTACTAGTAGTTTGTTTCTTTGTCTCGTGCTCTTAGTGCAAATCTCAATTCAGGATGTAAGACGAGAACAAAAAATGGAAGGCAAGGCGTCCTTTTACAGGGGCCACTCACGGTCTTGAACATTGCTACATATTGCTACCCTCCGTGCTTTTGACCACAGTTCACGATTGCTGCTACTCCCTCTGGTTCTTCTATGAGAAAGAGGGCCACTCACACTTGCACTGGCTTTTGGATTACTTTTTGAGCTTGCTTGCATCGGGGCCTGGTGCCGAGGGGGGGAAGAGCACCTCAGCCAGAGGCAGATCTTTCTGAGTTGAGCACTTGCCACCATCCGCTTCCCCGAAAGCTTAGCAGATTCCGGCTGACCGTGTTTGACATGATGGTGCTTGGTGCGATTTTTCCATGCTATTTCCCGTGAGTGCACCATCTAAGCGTCCCACATTTGATGACCAAGTTTGGTTGCTGAGCAACGCTCCTTCGTTTCTCCTAGTCCTTAAAACCTTTCCTTCTACCAGGTCGTAGGTCTATGCAGAATCATTTTTTGGGCCATCCTGCACGCATGTTTTGTGAACTGTCAACCTGGTAAGCCTGGCCAATAATTTGATGCTGGCCGGGCCATGAAAAAACAAGGGCATGGCCAGTGGTCGTGTTTTTCGGACTTGGACGATTTTTTTCAGTGGGAACTCGTCGGAACTCGCTGCGCCGAACCAGGCGGTCCACCCAGGCCTTGGAGTTCCTGCCGGTTCAGGCGAGAGGGTGAGATCTGGTTGGAGATTTGGGTGAGATCTGCTTGAAGTGGTGTTTTTTGTTCTTTCCAAATTTGTTTCTAATAGCGGTGGCCTCCAACCTAGTAGCGTCCTTGCTACTCAAAGTAGTATATAAAATGCCCTATAGCTATACTAGTAGCGTTCTTGCAAGTAGCGATGCCCTTGTTACCCAGCGATGGCCTCCAATAGTTTGTTCCAACTTCCTTTTGCTTCGACGCATCCGCCGACCTTCCTCGCTCGCTTGCTCGCTCGACTCCGACTGCCGAGGCGACTCTGAGGTGTGAAGCTGACGCTGAAGCGAAGTATGACTGGTGGAGTCGAGTTGTGCCAGAAGTCGGGCTAGAGACAGGGCATCTTGCAGATGAACTGGAGTTGGGAAATGGACATGGGGCTGGAGGGGTGGCAGGCAGTTGTGTGATGAACATTGGTACTGCTACCGGTCCATCGTGCATTTGTCTACCCCCCTCTCTCTCTATCTCACGCCTAAGGCTACGAGCAACCAGCAATTTGATCTCAGCTCGCTTGGTTCATCAGGACCCCAAGGTCCGCAGAGACCCCTCAACGAGCCGACAGTGCCTTGGAGAGATGTTCGAACATAGCCGGAGAAGTTCACTTGTCTCGGGGAAAAGCATCTCCTAGGAGGGCCCTGAGGGGGCCCTTGGAACTCCTAGAAGAATCTTCATTATTGAAGATCCCAGAAGATTCAGGACAATCTTGGAGACTAAAGAGATCTAAAAAGTTCCCTTTTTTGGAACCCTTTGGCCATTTGGGCTTGGGTTCTTCCGACAGCTGGAAGGCTCTATGAGGAGATGGCTGGCTGTGACCGTGCTTGGCAGAGGACACCAGGGTCATTGGAACCAAGTCCATCTTGCCTCCGCAAATAGGAGGCGCTTGTTTGATCGATTCCCGAAAGGCACCTCCAAATGTGCAGTCCAACCTAATAGCGATGGCCTTTGATTTGTGTTGACATTTGTTCCTTTGGCGGTTCCTGTTGCGAAGGACGGACTATGTGGCAATCTGGCTTGGCATTGGCCCACGCTGGTTGGTGTTTCTTTGCGAGGCCACGGATGATGCGATGCAGCACTCCTTGCTGTCAGGCGCAGTCGCGACGCTGGTCACGCGCGACATCGAAATCGAAGCATTGGAATGGGCTCATGAAGGGTGTTGGAGGGTGGCTGGGGGGGCCTGTCTTGCGCCTTGGAGCAAGCTTTTGTTGGGAGGCGATGCCTTGCAAAAGCGGATCAAGTTGATCATGCGCCCAGTCAAGGCCCTAACTCATATACACATTGGACCCGAGATCGAGCCAGATGCAATGCACTCTTCGAGTGTTTATCGAGTGGAACAGATGTTTTCACATGTTTTCACTTAGTGGCGGCCTAGTTAGTGAAACAAATGTCATCAGCAAAGGTAGAGGTTTGGATCAGAATGCGCTTGTCGGTCGCTTGGATGTTGCTGGTCGATCAATCGGGGTCGGACGTCCCAAAGTGCAATCGGTTCTGGCAGATGCGACTGCCCTTCCCCAGCAGCCCGCCGAATGATGCAGAGTATATCGGCCCATACTTCGGTGCTGGAGCCCAAATCGTTCCTGAGCTGAAACACGGTGCCGTCGAGCTTGGCTTTTTCTGAAAAACTGGGCGGCCTGGAGCTACCAGTGATTTGATCAAACGTGGCACTCATCTAGAATCAAAAGGTCGTAGGTAGCGCTGGAGGGCAGAGGAGCTGTGGGCTTTGCAGGCTTTACGTGGTTGTTGCAGATGGTCAAGCTTGCTGTTTGGCCACAGGAGCCTTGGAGGAGGCTTCCTTTGCAACTCCTCCGGTGTAGCCGAGGACGAGGTCATTACTGGCCCCTCCGATGCGCAGATCCATGGTGTTCGATGCTTGGAACAAAAGACTGGAGCAGTCTTTTTTTCCCCAAACAGTTTACTGGTGGGGTGTCTATGCTGGTATAATCTTTTTTGGCCCCCTCTTGGCCGAAATCCAAGAGCCACATGGCTCCTGTTGAAGCCGCACTTCACCTCGCCGCCAGAAAGGAGGTGAGACGGAATGCCGGCTGGCGAGACGGCCGAGGCCACGGAACGTTTCCGTGATCGACGGCCGACGAAGAGCGTGCCCGGCTCAGGTGTTGACCTCTACAGCAACTGGCTTGTAAAGCTGGGCCTTAAACACATTGGACTGCTCTTTGGCAACTGTCACCTGGCAAAATCCTTTTCTTGTGGTGTCTGCCAGAAAATTCGGAAGGGGGGCCCAAGGGGGTCTAGGAATCGAGAGGTGCTCCTTTAAGGCACATTCTTCTTCCAGATCCTTTTGGCTTCTCAATTGAAGTCGTGGCTGACGTTGGGACCCCCCCTTGGATTCAACCTGAAGCACTCGATGCAGCATGATGCAGCTTGAGGTTTGGATCTTTTGGTTATTGACTGGCCGGCGAAATTGGAATTGGCTTCAATCAGGCCATCTTTTCGATCTGAAAGGTGGGATGGAGGAGGGGTCTCGAGGCTGGGAGGGGCCGAGAGGGGTGTAGCCAGACGCTGCCGGGAGAGAGAGAGAGAGTGTCAGACTGCGAAGGCTGACCGTCACGCAGACTTTCAAGAACCAGCACGATGGCATGCTGTAGCTCACCTCTTCGCATGTGGAGCGAGGCCGAGTCGACTCGGTCGTTGTTTTCAGTATCCGGCATTGCCCAAGAAGAAAACATCAGACCATTGATTTGAGTGGCGTTCCTGAAACAGATTGCATGTTTGTCTATCGAAATTCAATGACTCAATGCCTTGAGGGGAGTGTTCTTGTACAAACTGTTTTGTTTTGGTTCGGGCTAACCTGGGGCTGGTATGATTTTGCTTGGTCCCCCGGCTTCTCTCAGCCGATCGGCCGACGCCGATCTCAGCCGATCCCAGGCTTGATGTTGGAAGTCTCCTGACGTGGCCTGGGCGTCTCTTCTGAGCTTTGCCAGCCTTGCCTAGTATCATGCCGGGGCCGAGTGCGAAGAGGTGTGCGCGTTTGATCCCTACGACGAGACCTCGCGATCATGAACAAGAGAGGTAGACGGTCGACGACGAAATGATCGCACCTTCCGCACTCACTCTCCGGTCATGTTTGTATAAAAGGGTTGCGTGTGTGTACTGCTTGCTATGGCATCGCGCATGTTCCTCGTCCTTCCGGCTCTGCCATGCTCGTTATTCCGTTGGAGTTTCAGCGACAGATGGACGGTCGAGGCTTAACTTTTGACACGGGATGGAGACTGATGGAATTCGCAGCGCTCCTCAAGCTGGCCAGGGTACAGCCCCTGTGGCTTGTGGAGCGTATTCGCAGCTGGCATTCTGTGTGAATTTCCTCCCTCTGGGGTCGTGCAATTTTTGCCAACTTTGTAAAGCTCGATGGGATGGTTGCCTCAGAAAAGCCTGCCACCATCTGCCACCCAATCTTGCATCACAAGCGGTTTGTCTAGTCTCCGGTCAGTTTTTTGAACTGAACTCATGTGGCCATGGCTCATTCTAGGGCTCATCCGCCCCTGACGGGAGCTGCTTTTACCGCACTGCGGTGCCTTCCTTCGGCTTCCCATGTTTTTCGGTCGACCAACACGGCGGCCGGTCCGGTCTCACGCCGTCCGGGGCTCGGCGAACACGGCTGAACACCTGGGAGTTGCCCGATGGCACCTCCACGGGTGGCATCGGAGTGCCACGGGGAGGGCGTCGGTCGACGCTGTCGGGCCGAAGGAGTCGACCATAAATCAATGATGGTAGGAGCCAGTCATCAGCAGTCCGTGGTCGCTTCGGCAAAGCTTGGACCTGGGAATCCGTGGCAACACGTGTTGCCATGTATCGGCCTCTACCGTGCTCGGGTGGTGTTTCTTTTTGGCCTTAATTGAGTGAGGTTTGGGCCTAGATCGCCGATCCAGGCCGATCCGGCCCGGCAAAGATGCCACGCAGACCGTGGACGTGGACGAAGAAGAGAGAAGCAGAAGCAGAAGCGGTTGGTGCGCGGTTTAGTTATGACTGTCACTAGTCGTTCCATGTCGTTCCTTGAAATTCAGTAGAAACTGATGGGTTTGAGATCATGTGCGATGTTTACTTGACTGAGCGGCCGCCAAAAAGACAAGGCCAGTTTAGTTGGGGAAAGGAGGCCCCTTGGTTACCAATCTGTTAGCATCCCAGCATCAACCAACATCAACTAACTAGTGACATCTAGTGGCTATGACGGTAAGTAGCCTAGGCCGCCAGTTCGATCCTGGCTGGGTGTATTGAAAGATCTGCCTTTGTTACTAGTAGCTTATTGTTTCTACTAGATTCTTGTTCCTAGTAGTAAGGCACTTGTTACTAGAAGCGATGCACTTGTTACTAGTAGCTTATCGGCCATTTGTGGCAGCTTCTCGGGTCAACCCACCCCTCCGTCCGCTCCGTCCGCGCTGATCGAAGCTGCGTTCGCCTCGGCCAAGCTGTCGAGCTGCGCGTGACAAAAGAGGTGGATGGAACTGCCGACACGACCAGTGCGTTGTTACCTTGGGGTGGGGATGAGTGGAGTGTTTGAGGTGTTGGCATGTTTCGTGTGCATTCTCAGAGACTGGAAGGCTGGAGGTTATGCCAGGTCTAGACTCTTTAGATCGTTGTAGTGCTTGCCACCTACCCTGGAGACCTTGCAGTCGAAGAGTTGGATCAGCGACCACTTCAAGCTCCAAGATGACCCCCCCCCCACGTGCTACGTGCAGGTAGACGGTCCAAGCATGTCAACATGCAATTGCTCGGAACATCTCGGAACATCTCGGAACACCAACACCACCGTGTGAAGGAACTGTGCGGCTCGACATGGCACTGAGGTCCGATCGTTGGGGATCTGGATCACGCTGGTGGTCGGGTGCCTGGTTGAGTGCTGCCTGGTTGTAGCGACAGAGACCGTGGGATTGGGAGGAGGGGGACTGAACCAAGAGCAGCCTCCACCCTGGTAGCGGCCTCCAACCGACCAGCGATGGCCAACCTACCAAACTGCCCTCGTGGGCACTCAACTTGGCTTCTCTCAGGTCCAACCACGATTGGCCAGACACCCGGTCAGGTGAAACTCTTGCAGAGAGTAGGCGTCGCCGGACATGGTGGAAATGAAACTGTGAAGTTGGGCCGTTGTCCCATGGTTTTTGGCGAGCGAAGCCCTTTGGCTCGAACCACTTTACCCACAAGTCCATTATTGAATTGCAGATGCTCGCACCTCGTCTCAAACAGGCTTTGTAGCAGTCATGTACGGTCTAAGGCGTTTAAGCATGTGTCTTTCTTTTTCCGGATTTGTTCGGTACCGGTTACTGTAGCTAAAATGAGTGTGGTCGACCATGGACAAACCCATTCTATTTGACTCATTTAGTTTAAGGGTGATCCAAAATGGGTCTTACACAAAATGGATGATACGGATGAACTCTTTGCACAGTCAAATTGGCCAGTCACAACAGAAAGTGGTCGTTTTTTTCACTTTCTATATACATGTAATGAGACGTATACTGTAGGTCTTTAAGGTCTATTAAACAGTCATTTTAGATTGCCAATTTTAAACCCCATCCGTTTTTATTCTGATTTTACCTCGGTCGTCGGTGGCATGGTGCAGCCGAGGCGGCCAATGTGGCGACATTTGTTGTGCCTTGAAGTTGAGCAGCCGAAAGGTCAGACTCGGGCCATGAAGAATGACACGCATGAACCACTGACTAGATCACACAAGACCGGAGGCGAGCTTGAGAGGCCACCCAACAGATAGATAGATAGAACATGATAGAACGTGATATTTTTGTGCAGACGGACGATGTGTTAGAAATGGTTTCTGTCGAAGTGGGGGCCTTCAAGTCTAGTTTCAGCTAGATGGGCAGTTGGGATAAGTTTGGATCAGGTTGGTTGCTTGTGGGTGTTGTTCTTTGGAACACTGAGGTTTGTCACCTGCTGGGCAGTCGCTGATGCCAAAGAGGCCTGTTTCGATTCTCCCACGTCATGCACGTCACATCACGTCACTACCCCGACCGGGCGGGGGCGGCAAGCCGCGGGGGGGGAAGCGCGTTCGGCGTGCCGCGCTTTGCGCTGGGTTTGCCTGGTCGGGCCAGGCCCAAGGGCAACAAGCTTTGCTTCAGCTTCCAGGATGGAATCTGGGAAACCTGGAGCAGACGCAGGCAAGTGGGCAAGTGGACAGCTGTTGCAAGTGGGCAGCTGTTTGGCCAAAAGGCACCATACTGGTAGAATATTTGGTTTTCACATGCTTTCACATCGCCTGGGTGGTGTTTGAGGCTTTCTGGCAGGTGAGAAGACATGTAGACCCGAGGTTTTCGCCCACATGTCCGGAAGCATCATGCCAGTGGCGAGTGGGTGAAAGAGTACGTGAGAAGAGTCGTGGGCTTTTATCTGGTTTTTGAAGAGTTGTCAAAGAGTTGTGAGAGTCAACGAGGGGTTTCATATGTTTTCATCGTTTTAAGAAAGAGTTTCACCAAAGATGACTCACCTGGTTTTGGACGTCTCTTTCTTTCGTTTTCTTTTCGGTGGATGGCGAATCCAGGTCTTAGACGATCCAGCCGATGAGGCCTCCGGCCGAAGTTCTAAGGCCTGCTAGTTGGGTCATCGGGGTGATGCATCGTCGGGGTAGAGCTATTGTTTGGGATTCGTGTTGCCACTTTTACTGCAGGTTACATGCAGTCCGGTTATATCATTTTTCTTTCCATGCATGTGTTGAAGCAGTGGCAAGTTTGAAGCGAGCCGGCTGTTGTGAGGGGCTCCAACACTTGGATCGAAGACAAGTTCGATTGGTTGCTCGTCTAAGTGGACAATACGGAATAAGGCTTGGCATGAAGGGGGGGGATTTTGTTTTACACGATGTTACTGTTGGTCGCTGGAAGGTCAGCTGTTGGAGTTGACGTGTGGAGGCAGACAGGATGAAATGCATGGGCAGGTGCGGCTTGAACCTCAAGCGTTGCAGTGAGGTTCCGTTGCTGTGAGGTTCCCTCCCTCTAAATGTTACTTCTGCATTTAGCCATGTAGCCATACGGGACCGTCCCCCAGACCCCCCGAAAAGTCAGCGCAAGCCAGCGGCCGGGCGGCTTCCTCGCGGCCGCGGCGATCGCCGCTCGCGCACGGTTTGGATCGTCGCAGCGAAGCGTTGCGAAATGAGGTCATGCTCTTGATCTTTGCGGGTTTAGTGGCAGCCTGCGTGCGGTTCGCCCAGTTTCATGGGGACATGCAGGAATACCAGGCAACGAGACAGCAGATGCACCCAGTCAGGTGTACAAACAGGTGAAGAGGGTGTCCATCGAGTGGGGTGCGAGTTAGGAGAAACTCCGAACGCAAAAAAGGACCACTGCGAAGGAAGAAAAAGGAAGGTAAGAACACCTTTGATACTTGTAGGACCGCTGATTCCTTTAAGGTAAGGGAGACCGATGAAACGGGCCCTGACCATCCTTTCTTGTTTCGCTCTTTTTTTCTTCAGCTTCGTTGGACCGAGGGAGGCTTCGTCTACCTGAGCATCAGAGGTAGCGAGTGCTTCGCTGACATTGACCTGAGCAACCAGATGAGCCTCTCGCCACCCCCGTTGACTGCGACTCAAACCTGGACATTACTTGATTTGGATTGATTGGGGTTGACACCTGCACAAGTTAGGACTACTTGTTGCCGGACTCTTCCACAAGAAGATGCAGAATACACATGTTCCACCCCTTCTTTCCAGAGCACGGGGGGGAGATGTTGGCTGTTAGCCCCGTTTTCACAGCCCACGTCGTCAGAAAGAAACACAATCAGCGGCTGCAAAGGAGCCATGGCAAGAAGCCCACCCTAATAGCCAACAAACGCAATGGCCCCCAACCTAGTAGCGTCCTTTGCTCCTAGTAGTAAGGCCAGGAGCCCCTAGTAGCGTCCTTGCTCCTAGTAGTAAGGCCAGGAGCCCCCTAGTAGCGTCCTTTGTTCCTAGTAGTAAGGCCAGGAGCCGCTAGTAGCGTCCTTGCTCCTAGTAGTGAGGCCAGGAGACCCTAGTAGTGTCCTTGCTCCTAGTAGTAAGGCCAGGAGCCCCTAGTAGCGTCCTTGCTCCTAGTAGTGAGGCCAGGAGCCCCTAGTAGCGTCCTTGCTCCTAGTAGTAAGGCCAGGAGCCCCTAGTAGCGTCCTTGCTCCTAGTAGTAAGGCCAGGCGCCCCTAGTAGCGTCCTTTGCTCCTAGTAGTGAGTCCTTGCTCCTAGTAGTAAGGCCAGGAGCCCCTAGTAGCGTCCTTTGCTCCTAGTAGTAAGGCCAGGAGCCCCTAGTAGCGTCTAAGGCCAGGAGCCCCTAGTGCAAGTGCAAGGCAGCGACCACCTTTCAACACAACGGATAGGGGGGCCCTTGGGCCAGAGAGTACCAACGGTATCGATGTGTACCGATGGATGTCGTGAAACTTGCGCCCGGCTCTGATGAACCTGGGTGATCAGAAAAGAAGTGAGGTCTTACGAGACGCATCGCTTTCGGGATTCAGTCGAGAACGGGCTTCCCCATCTGAGCTCGTTTCCTACCCGAAAACATTTCCTGATCTTCCACAATTCGCCATCTCTGACCCAACTGAACAAATCTCCCCATTTGCATGTCTTCACCCCTCTTCGTCAAAGTATTTGCTAACATCGCCTGAGAGCTAACCCATCGGACTCTCAAGTGCGTGCGGTTTTGCGATTCCTTGATCGCCAAAAGTTCAAGGACCACCCTACGTTGAGCACCTTCTGCTGTCTGTGATGAGCACGCCACCGACCTTGGACGCATGTGCATCAATGTCATGAACATTCGCCTCACAACCTATGACCTCACCCCATTGAAATCTAAGCATGTGAAGAATGTCATCCCCATCAACGGCCGCTCTGGCCTCTGCCGATCCCAGGTGACCGGCAAACACGATCGATTTTTCCGCTTTGCCAAAACCAGGAGGACACTTTGTCAAATGTTCAAGTTTTTCACCTGACATGGCCACAAAAATTCCTTTCGTGCTGCCCCCGTCATGTCTGTTCTGTGAGCTAGCGTCCGTCCAGCAGTACAGTTGTGGTTTATCTTGGTCCGAAAAAGGAAGGATCTTCAGAGGTTCGTGGGAAGCTCCTTTGATCTTGTCCAAAAGCTGGTTCACGTCCAACAGGGTTTCTACAGTACTCTTGTTCACTTCAGACAGGAACAAGCCAGTATAGGCAGCAAAACGGTACCCGATTTGATTGGTGTGCCAACTTAACGCGCCCAAAAGACCTCTCAATTTCAGTTTTCTCTTGAGGCGCGTTTCCTCCTTTGGAGTACGACGGCGATCCTTGGACACATTGATGGGCTGTACTTCTTCTAGGTATTTTGCCTGGTCTAAATGGAAACTTCCGTCTTCTTGTGCTTGAACTCGGACCCCACACTGGATGAAGTCTCCAGTTTCCCATTCGCCCCAGGCGAACCGTTTCTGGATCTGAGCCTTTGCTTCGAGCCACTGTTGGTTGTTGGACAGGCCACAGAACATGAAGTCGTCCACATGTCCTGACACCAGAGCGATGGTCTGTCGCTGTGTGTCTCGCAACCGCCAGCAACAGGGATCTGATGCTCGAATCCCTGGGTTCGTAAGTTTCAAACCACTCGATCGGAGCTTTGACTAGCCCATAACAAGCCTTTCGCATTTTGACTATGCTTTCTGCCGGTAGATGCATGGCTTGACAGATCTCTGGTGTTGGTATGAGGTACAGTTCTCGATCACATTCCCTCCCCTCAAAAAAACCAGCCGACACGTCTCCTTTGTGAACTAGAGCTTTGCGGTTTGCTGCCCATTGTAGAAGTACTTGTCGACTTTGTCGTGTCATGGTGGGAGCAAACGTAGACCTAGGACCACTGCTCTCGCCTTCGGTTTGAGAGGACCATCATCTTTCTTCTTCCAGGTCAGCGCCCATCGCATTCGCAGTGCCTGCGAGCGATTTGGGCGCAAGTGTGCTGGAAGAGCTTGTAGTGCTTCAGCTGCAATTGTTTTGCACCACTGAATTGTTCATGTTCCTCCGCCGGCATTCGGCGTTCTGAGACTTCAATGCTTCGCCTTTTGAGAGCACTGATGAAGAAAGCTTGACTGTTCTTGAAGAATTTCTTCCAACCACGTTGTTGTGTGGGTAGTTCAACTTCAATTTCCACAGCCGCAGTCAGAGAGGTGTTCCAAAAACTGCATGTATCTTCTTGCCAAAAACTACTTTGGACTTCATCAATCCAATGTGTGCCTGATGGCATCGACTCTCGATGTCGACTGCGACTTCTACCTCTTGGTGATCTGCTCGAAGGCGATGTCCTGGTGTTCACCGCTTCATCGTCAGATGGTGGGAGAGTTGGTGTGTAGCCACTGTCTCTGTCTCCCAGTGATGGATTGAGTCTTGGTCGGGCCTCCCGGCCTTCCGGTTCAAGCCCCCAGCATCCAGCGCCCCAAAGCCAGCCGTCACTGCCTCGTCAGCGCTGGGAGCGCGATCACCGGTCGGACCATCATCGCTCCACAGCTGCCCATAGATGAACTCTGAGTGCTCTTCCACTTTGAAGGACTTGGTGTCATTTCCTGAAGCTTCAGCCTTCTGTGGACAGAACTTGGTGTCATGTCCCTTTCCACACCGGGCGCATGGACCATAGCTCTTCTTCCCTTGGCTGCCAAAGTGCTTCCGCTTGCTATCAAAGAATTTGCGCCCCACGCGGGCCTCGAGCGCTTCCTCCGAGAGATCATCCAAACAATTTCATCTTCAGATCAAGTTCCCCCTCATCTTCGAACATGGCATGGCGAGGCTCGCCATCTTTCTTCCGAATGGCGTCATCGGTGAAGTGCCTTCCCAGGGCGTTCTCAACGGATTGCAGAGAGAACTTGTTGCGAACTTCACTCTGGATCAGGCTGCGCTCCATGTGATCGATGTTTGCCTTCTCAGTAGCCAGCCTTTGATGACGTCGGGGAGGGTCTCGATGAAGTCTTCTTCATCATCACTGTCATTCTTCTCAGTCACTTCTGACTGAGCTGTCGGCCGATCAAGCCATTGTTCATCTGCCGACCAATCCCAACCAGCATAGGGATACCACCACCACCATGCGTCGGTGTAGTCTGGCCACTCTTTGTCCGGTGCGGGTGCTTCGTCAAGCGGTGGTGTTTTGCTCACCCACCCGAGGCACGTTCACTGGACCCCCCCTGTCTGTGAGGAACGTGCTTCAGGACGATCTGTATTGGGCTCAATTGTGGACTGTGAAGATCTGCGACCTGAGCGCCAGGCATGTTTTGGATGTAGCCCGAGCTGATTCTGTTCTCGCATGACTCTTGTCAATGCTTTGCAGGTACGGGCATAGTCTTCACGGTGCCGGACACAAAATGCAGACTTCGTTTCATCACGAAGACAGTGGATGAGCTTCTCCACGCCATCGCTCCGTGAGAGCCAGCCACGCTTCTTGTTTCCGATAGCCGCCTTCGCGGCTCCAGAGAGTTCTGCAGCCAAGCGGGGCCACACAAATATCTGTATTCTCCCACTTGACCGTGTCCTCATACAAAAAAAGCAGCACGTTTGTATTCTGACCATGATGGGTTTCCGTCCCCTCCCGGAATACCATCTTTCTCCTTGGAAACTGTCATCCCCAAAGCAGCGACGCGAATGCCCTGGATCTTCTAGGCCTCGAGCGCATTCGACTCACGGAAGCCCCACCCCCTCGGCGACGCGGGGGTGAGGCTCCGCTACCATGCAAGTGTAAGCGATGGATGTTGTGAAACTTGCACCCAGCAGCGTCCTTTGCTCCTAGTAGTAAGGTGGCTCTGGTAAATGGTTGGTGACAGTGGTGGTCATCGTAGTGTCAGTGGCAATGAGGTTTTCTGCAGTGGCAACACGTTGACGCAAGTGGCATCGATGCTGTGAGGCTTGCATATCTGTGCACCATGTCTTGAGACCCCGTATAGTCAGATTGCTTTCTTCCCTCCAACAGGTTGGTAGTGCAGGCCACGTGCCCAAGGATGAAAAGGAAGCAAGAGCTAGGGGCGCCTGGCCTTAATACTGGGGGCAAGAGCTTGGTAAGGAGGGGGCTTGGGCTTGAAGACTGGATATGAGACCAAGCCACATCCAGGTTAGATGCTTGCAGCTCACTTGAGCAGTGCTGGGATGAGTTGTATGCACCTAAGCCTTTCTTGAGGAGCGTTTCTGCAGTTGGCCACGTGGTGTGCATCATGGCCAGCCTTAGAGCCAATGCATCGTGGCTCGTGTGGCCTAATGGATAAGGCGCCTCCCTTCTAAGGAGGAGATT